CTTGGTTATATTCTGACCTTGTCTTAAGAACGTGATGTTGTTGAGATTACAGATAGTAGAGTGATCTGTTAGGTTGAGAGAAGAGATAGAGAAGAGAAGAGATGAGATAGTGTTCCGGTGGTTTCATGGTCACTGCTCACGGTCATGGTCATCTAGCTCTAACGTGAGCGGAGACCTGAGAGCAGGAAGTAAAAAACTGTGGCTTGGAAAGGAACGGTGTGAAAGTTTAAAGTTTCAGGCAAGGGGAGCATAGACCACGAAGTATGTAACTGATGAAGGACTTGGTACTAATGAAGAGAATTTTGGTGGCTCTTCACTGGGGCAAGAGGAAGGTTCTTGGAAGACAAAACTCCGTGTACAGGAGGCTCTTTGAAGGACATGGAGAAAAGGAGCTGAACAGGAATAATGATTTCTTCTACTGTAGATAAAAAATTTACAGGATGAGGCATGCTCCTGCTTCCATGACTTTCTCACCAAACCTTAGCCACTTTGGCTTTCTAGCTCCCAGAAGAATGTTGAATACCACTTTTCCACTGGAATCAACAGGTCTGTCTATGTGATTTTTGTCAAAGTATTGTAAATGGCTAAGGTACTAGATAATTACTCTAATGATCTATCCTGTCCCTTTAAGAGACAAGCCCCACCCACTCCTTCCTTCTGCTTCCAGTTTGAGCTCTCTCTTTCCATCTCTCTCTCAGAGGCAGCTTCTGCCTCTCTCTCTTATTCTGGCTTCTCTCCCCCCCTCCTCCTTCTCCTCTCTCTCTCTCTCTCTCTCTCTCTCTCTCTGCCTGTATGCTGTTCTCCCTTCTCCCCTTCCCCCCTCATATAGGAAAGAGCTCATTTTTAAGCATAACAACTAAAATAGGTCATTAAGAGGTGGTAAGTATGGAAGGCAGCTATTGGGGAATAAAACACAGAAGTGTCCATCAAAAGGACAAGTGGGGTGTTGGTTCAAGAGACCATGAAGCAAAAACACAGTTCAATTCTGAGAACAAAGAACAAAGAGACTAAATTATGTGTTCACTTACCCTCTCAGGACGGAATGGTGAACCAAGTACACTTAATTAACAGTGACCAACAGTTAACAATAAACACAGGCTGAAAACTATCCACACAAATAAATTTAGGAAACAATTGGGATTGGCAACTTTGTGGAAACTAAATCAATAATCATTTTTAAACAGAAAAACTATTAGAAAGCTAAGACTGAAGAGTTAAAGTACAGAAATAAAGACAACACAGAAAAGAGATTTCTGAGGACAGTGTGTTTTCATTTATGAAGAGAAAGCATTTGTGGGCATTAGGTACTTGTCGGGGTTGAATTTATTTAAAAAATTTAAAACTACAGCCATAAGATCCAGTCATGATAAGTTCAATAGAGGCCTGAGTCTCAGTAGTTTACCCTGAGGCAATACCTGGTTCTGATAAAGACCAAAAACTAAGACTGCCCAGTCACCACCCAGGAATAGAGCATCCAAAGGAAATTAACTAATGTTCCAACCATTGTAGATAGGACCACCTGCCAGCACACACCCATTGCTTTTCACTAAGGCACCACTAGACAAATGCCAGCCAATCAGGGGTCTTTAAATAATGCCATCTAGAAGGGGGGGGCACCTCTTCCTCTTGCTGTCGCTGTGCTCGTTGCTTTGACGAGATCCTTGCCAGCTTGTATTGTGCACACAATAAGCCTTGTTTTTGCATTTCGATGAGTTAGTCTTCCTGGTTGTGTTTTGGGGTCACCATGGACTGGACACAACAACAACACTTAAATAAAGCCTCTGATTTTGTCTCTGGTAGTAAGTGCTTTTGTCTGGGAGTAAGGGTTCATGCCTGTCCCACGTGTATCCAATCTTTTGACATTGCAACACCTTGTTTTCTGTTACAAAGTTCATCTTTAAGAACCCTGCAACTGAGATACAAACAAACAAATAAACAACAATAATAACAAAAATAAAAAGTCACAAATAACCTCATGTACTAATACCATTTTGTGTTCTTGAGTCTCAGCCGTAGAACTGACATAGTTGCAAATCATCTCAACATTCAGAAGGCTAAGACAGAAGGGCAGACAAGAATTTCAGGACAGTAAGTGGGTGTTGAAAGTTATGTTACAGGTCAGCATAGAGCACAGTCTGAGATCTCATCCTTAAAAAATAATAATGATTAAAAATATATACAGTTTGAACACTTATTTTTATCTTATGTTCTTTACAGCGACTTAGTTCCAGGCAAAACCTTTAATCTGCTCAGGTGGTCTATAGTACCAAAAAAACATGAAAATATTATTAATCTACTCAATCTCTAATCACTACTACCACCTGAATTTTTCAGAGAAGTTAATCATCTCAGTAGCACAGAAAAATAGGTAAACCATAAAAGACTTTTAGTCTCTGAACTTAGGCTTATGTCCCCAGAAAACAAGGCATCCCCATTTTCCCCTGCCTTTCTCATTTCTCTGATGTTTAGTACATGGTTATTTCAAAATATCATGGAGCGAATTACATCACTGCCTGACTTAATCTGGGTGCCCTGGGCTAGGTGTTACCAGAGCAGTTAGCTGTGTAATTATTCTAATGTCAGCCCAGGGTTAATCTCTCATATGGGTCTTAATCTTTGCGCTAAGACAATTTCAACTGGAAAGCACTTAATCCTTTTTAAATGAGGAGAATATTTATATCCTTGACATTCCTAACACGGCCCAATGCTTAAAGGGAGGGATCCAGTTCCACATAAAGTCAACTGTGTCTCTACATACATGGGCAGTTCTCTGCCACGTTTGCCCATTCTGATGCAAAACAGTGTTTATCCAGAGCTCTCAGAAATTATAGCATATGGGCATTTGGAAATTCAATCTGGATGGATAACATATGTCCTCACATCCCCTAAATAAATTCTGGTCATTATCCAACCAATGCCATCATCCCTTTTTCATTTTAAAATTATATCTGTTATTCAATGTACCTAGATTGAAAATTAAAGATCAATACTCTCTCCAGATCCAATTCCAAGTCTTCATTTGTATACTGAAGATTATTTCCAAAGATAGTATTTTTCTATTGTCCTGTCTATCACAAATCTGTTAAGACTGATAAAATCTAATGAAGAAAACAATGATATTTATTTCTGCATCAGGATAATGAAGGAACAGGGAGTGACTTCTTAACAGTTAAGCAGATTAAGAAATCATTGGAAATAAAACATTTTAAGTTATTGCATAGTTCAAATATCTACTATAATTAAATAATTTGGATTGATATCCTCTCTTAGTGCTTAGAAGATAGTTTACTTTATGTCATACATAAATTTTGCTTCAAAAGTCTCTACAAATTACTCAGTTTTTAGACCATTAGAATTTCAAAGTGTGATGAGTGAGCCTGAGATAGTATTCCTAATCTTTGGATTTAATGTACAAAGAATCAGACAGAAGCAAAATTTTAAGGGGATAATTATTAATGTAACGGGAGCAGTGTTATATACCTCAATCAAGGTACTCCAGAGGTAGAGGCAGGGAGGTCAGGAGTTCAAGGCCTTTCTTGGCAGTATAGCAAATTTTAGGACATTATATACTCACAAGATTGTCTTGGAAGTAACAAGAAAGATAGAGAGAGGAGTGGGGGGAATGTTATTTTATGTCGATATCTTTTATAGTAACAGGAAATTAAAATGCAATTTGAGTATTTGGACAAGTAGTTCACTTAATAAAGGGTTGGCCTGGTGTAATAAAGGCCCTAGCATTGCATAAACCAAGTGAGATAGTACAGACCTGCAATCCTAGTGTTTGAAAGATAGAAGTCAGAGGATTAGGAATTCAAAGTTATCCCCTTGGCTACATTGCAAGTTCAAGGAGTGCCCGGGCTAACTGAAGGGGGAAACTATCTTGATATTTGGAAAGTCAAGGCAGAGAGAAAAGAAGGGCTCCAAAGGAAAATTTCTCATGGAACTGTGACCCATCCATGTGGATACTGATACCACTAATATTAGTATTGTTAGGTTGCAAAGAGTTCAAATTGCCAAGCATTTAGAGGCTGCTAAGTGCATCTGAATAACACATGTTCTCATATGTAGGAAAGATAATTTTCATTAATGTCTCATACAATTCCTTTTAGTGAAGATGTTACTTTAAATATCAACAATTTACAAGAACCTGGGAAATTCCATTCAGGATTCCATTTTCTTCAGACCAGAAGATAGAGGAGGAAGCAGCAGGCTAGAAAATAAGGTTTCAGCTTTAGTAGCTACAGACAGTCTCACTTCAGCACTGTAGTGATTCCCCTCACAAAGCCATCGGCCTTCCCTTTTGGTGTGTTTGCACACTTCACTATACATAAATATTATGGAAGCAAACGCTGACAAGTAGTTTTCCTGGTTTAAAAGAAAACCATATACACTTAGTGCCAACAAGGAAGGCAACCGGCATTGTTCAATTATTCCAACTGAGCTTTTGGCTTTTGGCATGCCCTTCTGGCTGAACTCACTGTGGGAGAGCTAGCTTTGAAGTTCTAGACAAATTAAATCAACCCTTCAGATCACATGTGTCCCAAAGAATGTGGTTTCTCAGGTATGAACAATCTGGTCAATTCTTCATTCTCCTTTAATTTGGTCTTGGTGTGTCTCCCCCCCACCCCCCGTAGAATCCATAGGAAGAGAGTTTATTGGATCCTCAGTCAAGGCAGCTTAGGGTCAAGATTACCTGTGCAAGCAGGAGCAGTGCCTCTTTTGCTGGGAGAGACTGGCTCTGTCCTTGCTGATTGTGCAAACACTCATAATTGTGCCTCTAGGTAAACATACTGCTGTCTTCTTGGAACAAATGAGAAGTACAAAGAATGTTTATTTGCAAGTCCAGCCTTCCCAAGTATCCAGAGTTGATTTAGACACACCTGAGCTCCCATCCCCCTCTTATTGGCAAAGAAAGCTGCCCCACTTGATTTACAAGTTTACTGTTGGAGTCAGTGGAGAGGGGGAGAGACGGTGGAGGGGGGGGGGGAGTGTCTCACCGGCCAGCACTGGATTTGGTCTAGCTAGAAAGAGCAAAGTCGTCATTATTGAAAAACCAGGGCGCTCTGAGCTTATTTCTTCATGAGGACGGTTCTCTCTGAAGGCACACGTTTTTCTGCTTGAGAGCAGCCCTACCTCCCTGTTCAGCATTCCAGCTGGGTAAAACTCGGCAAGACCATGGCAAGCTACGCTCTTCAAATGGCTGGACTGGTGCTGGGTGGTGTCGGCATGGTGGGCACAGTGGCAGTGACCATCATGCCTCAGTGGAGAGTGTCTGCCTTCATCGAAAGCAACATTGTGATTTTTGAGACCCTCTGGGAAGGCCTGTGGATGAACTGCATGAGGCATGCCAACATCAGAATGCAGTGCAAGGTCTACGACTCACTGCTGGCTCTTACTCCTGACCTTCAGGCATCCAGAGGCCTGATGTGTGCTGCATCTGTCCTGTCCTTCCTGGCTTTCATGACAGCCATCCTCGGAATGAAGTGCACCAGGTGCACGGGAGACGATGAGAGCGTCAAGAGCCGCATCCTGCTGACAGCCGGGATCATCTTCATCATCACTGGATTGGTGGTGCTCGTCCCTGTAAGCTGGGTTGCCAATTCCATCATCAGAGACTTCTATAACCCGCTAGTGGAAGTCGCCCAAAAGCGTGAGCTTGGAGAAGCCCTCTACATTGGGTGGACCACAGCACTGGTGCTAATCGCCGGAGGAGTGCTTTTCTCTTGTGTGTTTTGTTGCACAGAGAAGAGGAGCAGTTACAGATACTCCATACCTTCTCATCGCACCACCCAGAGGAGTTTCCATGCGGAAAAGAGATCCCCGAGCATATACTCCAAAAGTCAGTATGTGTAGTTGTGTGTGTGTGTGTGTGTGTGTGTGTGTGTGTGTGTTAACTGTACCTATAAAGTCAAACAAATCACTGCATCAGGAACTATTTTCAAGAAATGGAGTCCACCGTGTATCCATTTACCTTTGTTAACTGCCTAACACTCAATACAGGAAATATGCACCGTCGTTGATTCTATAAATGATTTAGCAGAATGAGGTATTACGCACACAGCTTCGATTGTTCTAGAAAGCATAGTCATTTGTTTTCTGAAATGGTTCACACAGCTTTTCCTTTTATCGGCTACTCTAAAACGACACATCTACAGGCCGTTGGTTTAAGCTGTGTCTTCTCTGTGTCATGGCATTATACGAGTAGATGAGGGTGGCTGTTAAATCTCACACAAATAGAGACAGGCTTATGTGGCTCTATTTAAAGTGAAATGCCAATCCATCAGGCTGAATAAATACAATTTTTTCAAAGGGAGCTGACAATAAAAGGGAAGAAGGCTGATATTAATTGCCTAAAAACAGCTTAAGGATTAGTGTACTCTATTTATAGTGAAGGTTAAAATGAAGGCTTTAATCATTAGTGTAAAGGAAGCTAAATGGCTTTCTGAGACCCTGCTTTGCAGCTACTGAAATTAGAAAGCCCATCACCGTCATCCTTTAACTCCAGAGGCTGTTTTTCTTTTTCTGGTTGGTTATTAAGTTTGTATCTTTTAAAATTTAAGATGGATATTTTGTCAAAATATTTTCATCCAAACTACTTTACCAAGGCTGTGCTAGGAAAAGAGATAAAGCAGTGGTGTTCAAAAAATTAACAATTTCAGAAAAAATAATTTATTTTAACCTGCAAGTTTAGAGAAGGATGTATTGTCTTTCAAATAAAGTCATATATGTAAGGAACGGTTCAAGCACTGTTTGTGCGTCATCTTTGGGACTTTATCAGTATAAATGAAGGAGAAAGATGATATGTTTTGGTCGTTGTCTTCTTACACTGAAGAGGTACAACCCCTCTAACTCCAAAAGTTTGTCCTTTCTCATTCTGTGACTACATCAGAATCATCATTTCAGTTCTATTAAGCATCATTTTCTCCACTTGCTATGTCTTTGCTGAGGTTTATTGAAGTGTGATATTACTTTGTGTTTCCTCCCAATCTGAGAGGATTCTTAATCCAATTTCAAATTTCATACATATGAATCTGTATTAATAATACGACTATATATGCTATTTGCTTTGTGCATTTTATATAATAAACTGTGCCGTTTATAACAATATAGCATTCTTATATTTACATTCTTTATTTCTTTGAGAAAATTTTCAAAACTTGACTCTTTTTTAGTTTTGAACACAGATCCTATGTTAATTAAGTGAATGACTTAAAATCAATTTGCTTTATAATGATTACACACATGTACTAATATTTGAATATATTATATTGGGAATATGTTAAGATGTAGTTAAGCTAAATAATTGTATTTGTTGTAAATATTGTGTATGTAATGTTTTAAAATGTTATCCACATGTATTTCAACTTCTGAGAATTAATATGAATTAAAATAATGCTGAATGATTTTGGAGTAACAACCGTATTTATGTAAAGTATATTATTAAACCCTTGTAATACTAAGACTGTAGTCATTTCAATTCACAAATGAGAAAAAAACCTCAAAATTGTTCATTGATTGCCAAAAACACTAATAGAAAAAAAGAGCTGACAACATTTTGAAAATCTTCAACCAAAGTTCTTTATGTTTCAGTACATTTAGTTCATGACCCAATCTTTGTATGTGAATTTAAATGTTCAAGGGCTGTTAGTTGGAAAAGCTTTAGTTATTGTTACCGTCTAGGTGATGTCACTATGCTAAGTGCTTGTCCACCCTGAGCAATTTTGTCCTTTTGGTCAAGACAATTGCTAGGAGCAGAAATAAGCCAGAACTAACAAAATGACTTAGAGAAGAAATCCAGAGAGCCCATTTTTTTATAGCCAGTTTCTAAACAATAATTATTTAATTGTCCTAAGTGTCACAGACTCCATTCATTTTTTTCTTATCTCTTCCACACAAAAAAAAAACCAACAACAAAAACAAAATCTATAAGATTGGGATCACTTCTTTGGTGCTTCTGAAATCTCTCTTCATTGTCTACCTTGGTTATAACCCCATCTCTTTTCTTCAAAACTTTTTGTATTTTTATGTCACTGTATCAATAATATTTTTCATTCAACTAGCTGCCAAATTCTTATTGTTGTTGTTTATAAAATATATCAAGAACAGAAAGAAGGTTCAGCAGGGAAGGCTCTCGCTATGCAAGTCTGGAGCCTCGAGTCCCATCCCTAAAATCTTTAACATATGTGCTGTGGCATATGAATTCCCCCCAAGACAGAAATCTATGCTTATATTAGCAATAAACATTCTTAAAATGTATAAAATTTAAGAATTAAATATAAAATATTTCCACCATGCTCTGTCCCTATGTTTGGAGGAGATGCCCAATTTCCTGAACTGCGAAGTCCAAATGCCATGCACAGTGAGTAGCAAGAAGAAATGCAGCCATTTTAAATTCTGAAAAGTGAATTCCATCAGATAGTGAAACAGTTGTGTGACCAGCAAGGCAACTAGTTGACTGATGCCCAAACAGTAGAAAACTCACAAAGCCCTCCTTTATTGTTTTGAAATAGATATACTGAACTTGGAAAATAATCCCGTTGGTGGCAAAGCAAACGCCAATACAAGTTTTTCAATATTGTTTTAAAGAAAAAATGATGTTGATACAAAACAAAGAATATGAGGAGTAAAGGTATTATCTATTTATTTATTTCCTTGCTTATTTATTATTTATTTGAGGTAGAATCTCATGTATACCATGCTGGTCTCAAACTTGTTATGCAGCTGAAGATAACCCAAGAATTCTGATCCTCCTGCCTTCACCCCACAAAGTGCTGAGGTTACTATTATGTACCACAACATTTGCTATATGTGGTACTGAGAACTAAACTCAAGGATTTGTGTATGGCAGACGAGTGCTCTAATCTCTAAGAGTTATATCCTAAAATGAGGATTATAGCATGATTACTAAAAACCCACAGACAGATAACTGTTCACCCTGAAGACCATAAAAGCAAAGCAGTCCGTCATTGGCTCTTACCTCTGCTGCAGTCCAAAAATGGCCATCCTGCCTCTAGAAATCTCTGAATGAAACTGTGTGAGAGAGCTGTCTGCTCCTGTTTTATAATTCTTTAGTGCTGGGATTAAAAGCGTGCATCACTGCTGTCTTTATTTTTTAATGACAAACTAGTGTGGTTACTGGTTTTAAAGGTGTGTGCCACCACTTCCTGATCTGTATGACTGATTGGTATGAAAGTTTTACTCTCTGATCTTCAGGCAAGCCTTATTTATTAAAATACAAATGAGACAATCACTATAGAGGATATGATTTTAGTTCTTCACTTTATAGCTAGTTGGTGTTATGACTTCTAACAAATCTATTTTTTATAATGATTAAGTAGGGTTAGCAGTATACAAGGCTTAAAATTTTTGTAGGCTAAGGGAATTAGAAATAGGAAGTATGTTATGCAAAAAGTGAAAACATATACAGCACACAGAAAATGAGCCTTCTTGTTACCTGACAGCTGCTTCCAAACCAGCACTGCATGGAGGCAAACACGTTAACCCATCAGCACCATCTTCCATCCATGAACTTAAGACAATAGGATTGTTACGGAAAACAAATTCTCAAACACAACAGCTAGCTTAATGCTAGAGTTAGCAAGCATCAAATTGCTTCTCTGGTTACAACATGCTTTCATAAAATTCATTGGATTTTTATGCAAAATGTACACATAGAATAATGAAGCCAAAATGTTGAATGAAGGCTGGGTGTGTGGTGGCACACATCTTTCAGAGGCTAGCCTTATCTACATAGTGAGTTCCAGAACAGTCAGGGCTATAGAGAGAGATCTTGTCCAAAAGTAACAAGAAAAACAAAAACAGGACCAACTATGAAGTAAAATATGAAAACCATAATCTTTTCATCAAATTTTCATTATGAATATTTTTAGTGAGTTATTCATGACCATACAATCCCAAGAAATACATCTTACATTGAATTAAATAAAAGATAAATGTACTTTTAGAATTAAGACTAGGACAAAGACATTGGTAATTATGTATTTTTGTTTAAAATATTTAGGTGACTGCTTTAGCATATAAACAAAATGTGTTAGATTAACATTTTTTTTACCCAAACTAATTATTCACAGCACAAGAAATTTCTAGGTATTTCTGGAACATTTTAACAATGTCTTCTTTCAGAGTCCTTTGTCCTTCAATGAATTTCTAAGAACTTATTTCAATAGGGAAGCATTTGAGTATTACTCAATACTTACCTCAGTGGTTGCTCAAAATAGCAGCAAATATAATTATATTGAAGGTTCCATAAGGAAATGCCATGATACTCAAGCTATTGCTCTGGCTAGTCATTTCTTTTCACTTGGGGATATCCGTGTTGAGTTACCTAAGCCCTAGGATTGCTTAAAGATTAACCAAATTAATGTACATAGAGCCTTTATTACAATAGTAAAAACAGAATAAACTGTGTGTTAGTCTTGCTTATAATTTTGCATCTAAATTTTCAGCCCAAGTATTTGTCTTTTTTTTTTTCTTACCATAGTGAACCACCTCTATCTCCAAAAGAAACCCCCTTCTGCTGATTCCACACCAGAAGCAATTTCTGAAGTGCTGTAAAACGTTAATAGGGGAGCTAATGAGATAGTTCAGATGGTGAAGTGCACATAAGAGTGATGACCTGAATTCAATCTCCAGCACCCATATAAAAACCTTTCCTAGGGTCATGGGCTAATAATCTCAAGAGGCCAATCTCTGGGTCTTACTGACCAGTCAGCCTAGTCTAATCAATAAGGTCCAGCATTTATTTAACAGTGGTCTCAAACAACGTTTGAAAAAGGTTCCTGAGAAAATAATACCTGGGAACATTCTAAAAGGTCTCAGCCTCTAATTTTCCAGCCCTGTGTCTGCCTAAACCTGAAGATGGCCATACAGCTCTGACTGAAGCTATAGGCAGAGACACAAATACCGGTCCTTGCTGGGAAGTGGTGGCACAGGCCTTTAACCTCAGCCCTCAGGAAGTCAGAGGCAGGTAGATCTCTGTGAGTTCAAGATCAGGGGAAAACATTGGAACTGCAAAATAGGCATGGTCAGGCTGGGCCTTTTATTCTCATGGTCTTAAGAGAGGGCTGGGCCTAGAAGTGTGAACACTCAAAAGAGTTTCAAGCACCAAAGACACTTTCCAGAATTCCTGTGGAGAGAATCCAGCAGCTACAAATCACATACCATTGAATCACTACCAATAGGAACATCAGCCACCAAAGTTTGGTTTTTGTTAAATACAACAACATGGTTAATACAAAGAAAGACAACCTGGGTTCTTGATGGGGAAAACAATGAAAAGGACTCAAAATCCAGAAAAAGGAAATATTGTGGAATATTAGTTGAAGATGTGTTACTTTCATTTATGCTGTGGAATGTTTGTTTAATGATGCAAAGACTTGCTGCATTTTTTTAAGGTTGCATTTGTTTAACTTTGTAAAGATGTGTTACTTTGACTATCTAAAACACCTGATTGGTTTAATAAAGAGCTGAATGGTCAATAGTCATGCAGAAGAGAGAAAAAGGTGGAACTCGCATGAAGAAGGAATAAAGAGGAGGAGAAATCTATGCTCCAGAGAAGAGAAAAGAGAGAGGACGGAGAGAAGGAGAACGAAAGAAGGATGCTAGGGACCGGTCACCATACAGAATCAGTCATAGAGTAAGAAGAAAGAAAGATATATAGAATAAAGAAAGGTAAAAAGTTCAGAGGCAAAATGTGGTTAAAGAGAAATAAGAGAATTTAAGTTAGAAAAGCTGGCTAGAAATAAGCCAAGTTAAGACTGGGCATTTGCAAGAAAGAATAAGTCTCCAAGTCTTCATTTGAAATCTGGGTGGCAGGCCTCCAAAGAGGAGACAAACAAACAAAATAACAAGGACAACAAAAGCCCAAACAACAGTGAAGAGCCCACTAGCTCCAACCTGCAAGTCATTGAGAGAACAACATAAAGAGGTGAAGGCAAAAAAGGCACAAAGACAGCAGATAGAAATAAAGTGTAAAGACTGGGTTCTTACAAAAATAGCATGAAATTTACACTTCAAAAGTCTTCATGGAGCAGAGAATTGACAGAGGTCACCTATGAAGTAAAATAATAAGTATTTGCAAGATGATGTAGAAAAAACAGGCTCAGGACAGGAAGAAAAACTTAATTTATAAGGGGAAAATGTATGAAACAAATTTGGTTTAAAAAAATCCAATATTCTGCAAGTTAAACTCAGAGTGACAAAGAACAGAAGCAGCATAGGAAATTACGATGATGAAGATGAAGATGAAGTAGTGCATGGAAATTTCTAGTCATTTAAGTTATAGGTACAAATGACTCATTGTATCATCCCCCATGATTAAAACTAAATTTTAAGTTAAATTGGTATTCCAGCAAGAAAGTGTGACAACCACACATTAACTACAAAGTCATACTTTGATCAGATACTTATCTCAACCACAAGCCTAAAGCTAAACAAACCA